CTGCACTCTGCTGATGCTGAAACGAGTTAAAGTCCCCGTGGCTGCGCGCTGCGAGCGACTATAAGGAACGGGGCTGGAAATAAATATGTCACGACCACAGGAAAGATAAGGGAAGAAAACTTGATTTGGAGAAAAGTTGCCTTGTTTACTAGTTTTAAATGAAGTTGGGACACTGGACACATGAGAGACTTGAGCTGAAGTCAAAGGAAAATCATCAGCATTGTGATAAAGTTTGTCTTTTTTGTGTGTGTGTGAATTGTGCTTTTATAATGCAAACAGAGTGGACACTTTTATTTATCAAATGGCCAGAAATGCAGAGATTGCTGTCATGTAAGGCAACACAAACCTATTGCCCTTACTCGAATGCTCTTGCATGTAAATTCCCCACCCCTCCTCTGCACCGCTCTGAGTCAACCAAACCCCTGCAGACAGCTGTAACAATACCCAGTGAGTTCTTACTCTCTGACGTACAGAGCAAACATAACAAGAGTTTTCTGAAATCTCTGTTATTACTTTACCTTTTCTTAAGAAATGTATCGATCTTGTAGAACAGATACCACAGCAGCAATATGGATTGGGTGAGAAAGCTCCCCCCCTGCTCTGCTGTACCGTGTCCCTGGGAGTTTCATTTCAAATCCCCCTCCTATGCCCCATGATTTTTTTGCCCATGTTTTAGTATCGATTAGCGGGTAAAAATGAACTATGTTGGCCTGTTTCTGTAGCTGTTAGCACACTTGACAGTTGCGGTACATTAGATTAACTGCAGAGTGGAAAGCTCAGATGCCCTGCAGTCAGTGTGGAGGATCCTCGTAGAGGAAACAGCTCAACAGCTGCATTCGTCCTTGGAAAGATAACGCAGTTCGAACGGCTTAAACAGAGAGGCAGAGAGGAGAAAATGAACTGTGGCATATTGGCGGTAATGAGAAAATGAACCCTGAATTACAATATGTGAAGCTACCTGTGTGGCTTTTCAGGGATGGCTGGAGGATTAGGCTGCAAGCAGAGGAATTACATTTACATATAAGAGAAATAAAGCGCAGTATTTCCCACACCCATATTGTTCTTTGCTGTTCGCAGTTTGAACTGTGCATTTCTCGGCTTTATCTGACATTATAATGTGGCTCGCTGGGTTTTGATGGTGCCAGCATCTGCCTCGGTTTGAGTTTCATTGACTGTGCGCCTCAAGTCGGCCCACGTGGCATCTCCCGAGATGATACCCTGACGCATTTACCCATTCGAGTCCCTCCTCTAAGCGCCCCTACCTCCCCCCAGGAGATGCATGGATGAGCAGGCTCATTCACCTCGTGGGGTGTTCCCCATGCATGACTGATGTTGAGATTAATATCCTTGACTGAGTCCCGCTCTGCAGTGCAAAGAGGAGGAGCAGGCCTATGAAAGCAAGGCCTCCCCCCTCAGGAGTCCCTTGATTTTTCTCACTATTCTGCCAAACACAAACACAGTGTCACAAAACTGTTGTTCATGTAGAAGCCATCACCTCGAGGGCACAGCTGGCCATGTCTGATCCCCTGATTCTGTGTGCATGCAAAATTGAGACTGCTGCAAGAAATGAATGCCAACCAGCTCATCAAGGAAATTAGCCTAATTTAAACATATATACATGAATTGTAAACACATAGACACAGAATGTAGGAAGCAGAATCCAAATGGAATGATAATTCATGTTAAACTGAAATGTCCTACAATTATTTCTATAAATTGAATTTTATAATGGGAGTTGAAAATGAGGTTTGGCAGCTGCACAGTGTGGAGTTGGCTCCAAGCTCTCTCTGTCAAAGTGAAAATGATTCAAAGACAACAAAATGCTGTTTGCAGTCTTTTCACTTAAAGCACATTAACAAGCTAAGGAGCCAGAACTATAAAAGCAATTGGTCTGTTTTCTTTTTAAGAGGGTTGGGATTCTCAGTAAAGTGAGGCTTTTTCAAACATTAACAAAAAAGAAGAAGAAAAAGGGGCCTCATGTGGAGTGAATCCACACAGAGCAGGGAAAATGGTAACATCGCCCCCTGGTGACACTGACAACACCGAGAAACTGCTTGTTCTTTTTGAAAGAAGTTTGAACTGTGGTCTGAGTGAAACTGAAATGAGGACTTGCTTTGTTGAGAAAGCGCTGCGATATGCGCAGATCCAGGACATCACAAATGGCTTTGATAGCATAGTGTGGGACAGGATGTTATGTATCTGTGTGTGCTTTTATAGGACAGTCCACGTTATATTTTAAAATGAGGTTGAGTGGTGACAGCACTGTCATGTAAATCCTACAGCGTCCGAATTCTAAAGACTTTTCGGTACACAAATTCTTCTTTTTGCAGATAATGCATCGTGGAGGGAACCTTGAGAGGAAAAACGTGTGTTTAGCGGTGCAAAGTAAATCTCGGGCTAATGTTAAAATGGCAGCTTTGTTGAAAAAGCTTCTGACCAAAAATATTCTTTTCAGTTTTCTCCCTAAGCTTTGATCTTCTGTGTGTACCCACACAGCCTTGAACCTGAGTCATCAAATAAGAAGAGATGCATTAACAGTCCCGAAATCCATTTTCTCTGTAACAAAAGCCAGGCTTCTGTTTTCCTCCCTGTTTCCTGCTCATCTTTGTTTCATCTAAATGATCTCTTTCCAGCAGGCCTAAAGGGTTAGATTCATTAAGTTGCTTCTATCTGACTGTTTTTTATTTTCTTTTTCTTTTCTTTTTCTTTTTTGGGGTGTTCAGCATCTATCTACTCTATCTACTTAGCACTTTTAATTCTTATTTATATGTCTATTTAAGCGTTATATGACAGTATGTTTGCACTAAGTACCGCAGCAATTTCCTAATGTTGTAAACCTGCTCAACATTTGGCAATAAAACCCTTTCTGATTCTGATTCTGATTCTGATCTCAAGCCAGGAAAACTTTTCACTCTTTTCCCCTTGAGATCACGTGCAAGGAGGCCAGTTGATCTTTAGCCCTCTTTCCGCTCTGCTCCACATCCTGAAGCGAGGCCTGTTGGACTTTGTAGCTTGTAAACTGAGTCACAGCATTTTCCCTTGTGGGACTGAGAGAACATACTGTATTACCCTTTTCACGATGTTGAAAATGGGGTCCAGTTTATTTTCCTGAACAGCACTGTGAGAAGGGCTCTGCCGAGTTGCCTTATCAAATGTGAGCAGCTTCTCTGGTACCTGAATAGAAGCCTGTCTCCACAGCAACCTGTTTCCATACTGCTTAGTTACAGTTTTACGTGGCTTTTCCGATAATAATAAAACATAGATAAATGTGGCTAAAACAGAGCTGGAGTAGAAATGAATGATCAGATAATGGCACTCTAGTATACAGGATGATTTTATGCAGGTGCTGTAATACCGCTCTAACTGGTTTTAACTCATATCTTTTCTTCCTTATGTGATCTCACTGTCGATATCAGGAAATTATATAACTAAGAAATTATATCTTATCTATGCCATAACTTTTCAAACTAACCTACAGTGCTCGTCCTTTCCATTTTCCACAAGGAATCAGTTTTGGCCACAACTACAAGTAGTCAATGCCACCAAGCTATGGCAAAAAAAAAAGTAAGTACATGCAAATCAAAGCGAGCACCTTAGGAGACACATTAGTTTCATCCCCGGTCTTATTTTTACTGCTCTTTCTTTCCATGCCTTATGAGTCCATTTTCATCCAATCCCCACGACGTCATCCAATCCACAGCGTCTCTCCTTGCATGTTTGTGAAAAATATTTGCTTCACTGAAGTGCACTCCAAACCAATTAGTGAGGAGAGTGCAGACGTCACTACCCTCTTCTAGAATGGGAATTCAATGCTAAGCAAGGAAGGAAGAAAGCAGCTTACAAATGAGTTCTCTGAGGACTTTCATGAGCCTGTTCCTCGTCCTTAATAACCTGGTTTTCGAAAGGCAGTATTTTGGTCCCATTATAATTTTAATCATATAGCCTTTATGTTCCTCTGGCCTTTCTTGTCCATAGATATGAGATGATGGAGAAAAGTTTGGTGGCATGCATTGGTGGGGTTTACATGGAGAGCTGAAAAGATGGCAAATAACTGCATGAATTCAGTTCAGTTCAATTCAATTTAATTGAATTAAGTTTTATTTATATAGTGATAAATCACAACAACAATCACCTCAAGCTGCTTTATACTGTAAGGCCTACAATAATATAAAGAAAGCTCCAACAATCATATTATCTCATATATGTATGAACTGCATTTAAGTGAACAGCTGTTTTTAGCTTAGATGTCGCCCTTGTGGAGAAGTGTATATTTTTTTTTATTTTTTTTTTTTAGTGAAATGGTAAAATAAAGCTTCCCTTTTTGAGAAGATTAAAGAGCTGGATTGGTGACCTTGAACCATCATTCAACCATCCATTAGTTATGCTGTCATAGGTTCAGGCTGCTGGGAGACATCTCTCCTCTTCTGTTTTTACTCCCTGCATATTGATATATGACTAAAGCATGTCATTTCATTTTCTCTCTCACACACATAGATTGTATTTTCTCTTGTTTGTGTCCTTGTACTCGTCTTTTGGTGTATTCTCATTCCCGTCATTCTCAGCCAGCTACAATAAAGGATTTGGTAGCAGAACTAGCTTCTGATGGATTTCTTACACTTCAAAAAAAAATCTCTTCTTCCCTACTATCACTTTTTGAGTGCTTTTTCACAAGGATCATGACTGGTATTCATCTTAAAAAAAGAAGCACATTGGGGATTATTTTTGTGAACTGGTGCCAAATAAATAAAGTTAAATAGAACTGAATTGAAAGCATTAGTGATTTGTACTGATAAAGCAACGGAGGCTTAAACAGAAACATTACTATGTCTGTATTGACTGGCTGTTAAATTTTTCCCCTCCCAAATGCAACGAGATACTTAGTGTTAAGTTTCCGTATTTTCCCTGAACGCCCCATCGGCAAGTGTGACGTGTGTCAAAGAAGGTTTATGTGCCCTCAGAAGAGAGACTCAGGCAGTGTGCATATTCATTGAACCAAGTTAATTCCTCGGGTCACTCAAACTTCTTTTTTTGTTTCTTTTGAGTTTTTTACAATTTAATTGCACATTCAAACAGTCGTCAATATCACCTGTGAATATCAAGTGATTAATGAGACGTAACAACATAGCTTAGATATACAGACATCAATATCTCGAACTTTAATATTAGCATATAATTGAACATGGTATCGATTAATTTGGAAATTCACATAAGAGGAAAACTGCATTCTTTTGTTTCGTTTTGGATGTAAGATTTATTTATATTTCGGCTTCCTTGAGGGTTGTGATGAGCCTGTAAGGCAAAACTCGGGGTCAAATCTATAATGTATACCTGTTCGTTTCAGTAAGGCTTGGTAGATGAGCTAGCTACCTAACGGCTCGGCGCTGTTGCTAACACATGCTAACTATACCAGCTCTCCAGCTTGATGTGTCTGAGAGCTGATAGCCAGCGCACTGGCTTGCTTTGTATGATGCCGACTACAGTTTAACTGTCCATGCTAGCGAGCTAAGTGTGTGAGGAACGTGAAAGAAGAGAGGCTTGGCAGCACCCTCTAACACCACCACCACCGGCAGCATCCACTGGTAATCTTGACTACGGCTGTGTATTGTCGCTAGCTGAAGTTCCTCCTCCGTTTGTGGATGAGGTAGTTTAGCTAGCTCAAACGAACCGGGGCGGCAGTCTATACATGTCTATCTCTCGACCACGAGGCGAGCTGCGAAAGGCAAATCTTGCAGTTCATGTTTCGCCAAGAGGTCGGTGTGGCGTCTTTTATTCCATCCTGTTCGTATCTTTTCCAACACGACAAGAGGAATATGTCCAGATATAACATATACAGCCTGCTGGACTGGATCTACGGCGGGGTGGACCCCAAGTTTGAGGGCAACGGGGGCCCCGAGTGTGCTGCCTTCCTCGCTCCACAGCAGCGCATCAGCGAGAGTCTGGTCATCGTCCTCATCTCCCTGGTGGAGATTCTGGTGGCACTGAAGAAAATAAACATCTCCAAAGAGCTCAGAGTAGCCGGGAAAGACTGCATAAGGGCAAAGGAGGATAGTCTGGGCAAGAACCTGTTGCTGGTTACTCTGTGCATGACTTTCGGAGTGGAGGTTGGCTTCAAGTTTGCAACCAAGACTTTGATATATCTGCTGAATCCTTGCCATGTCGTCACCATGGTGCAGGTAAGCATGACACTGGAGGGAATGAACTGATGTGTGCCCGTTAGGATTACGAGTATGACTAGTGGAGATTTATTAGAAGATGTCATCTTCTCTTCCGAGCTGTCTTCTCAAAGCTGATGGGTTGATGGGGTATAAATTTTAGTGTGCTGGCTGGACTTCGAAGGCCTGGTTTTCATTAACTGGTTGTTTTGATTGATTGTTGACCTGATCTCACCCATCTCCAGCTCTGGTGGAGCACCCTGATCGATATTTTACAATCACTGTCTCCTAATGGCTTTATGGCGCCTTGAGATACACGAGCATGCTTTTTATTGAGCCATGCGAGGCTTAGAACAGGGGAAGAAATTATGAACTAGTGTATGTAGCACATTTAAAGCTTTTTAATAAAGTAATAGAAGCAAATTGATTCTAAAAACCACAGTAAATTCGGTAGGAAAGTACAAGTTTGAGCCTTGTTTTGGAGTCTTGTTTGGACATCATTGTTCCGTGTGTTAGGGAGTTGGTCCAGTGCTGCCATGAAAGAAGACATCTCAAGTTCAGCCCTTGGCTGTGAAACCAGAGCTGTCCCCCCTCTTTGTCTCCAAATATTATTTTATGAAGCTGTTGTATCAACAGCCTGTAAGCCGGTGAGGTCCATTCCTGCCTGAGGTCGATGTTAAACTCTTCAGATGGCTTTTTGACATTTTTTTAATCAGCATTAGGGAGCTGTGTCTTTGCTTTTATGTGTTAAATAACACTTAGATCATGGTAAATGGTAAATGGACTGGTTCTTATATAGCGCTTTTCTACTCATCTGAGCACTCAAAGCGCTTTACACAACTTGTGCATTCACCCATTCACACAAGCACATTTTTCTAAGTGCTTTATAGCTAACATTCACACACATTCATACTCTGATGGATGCATCGGAGAGCAATTTGGGGTTAGTATCTTGCCCAAGGATATATGGCATGCAGACTAGGGGAAGCCAGGATTCGAACCACCAACCTTCCGATCAGTAGATGACCTGCTCTACCACCTGAGCAGCCACCCCATCATGAGTCAAAATATGCAGTACCTGCTTGTTTACGCATGCCGACTGCTTGATCTTCATGGTGCATGACTGCCATGTGACAAGTCACAGCAACAGGTCGCAGCAAACTATTCATCATGAAAATTGAAGAGTAGAGCAAAGCTGATGTGCTCAATGATGATGGATTTTTCAGGTTTCAGGGAGGTAGCATGACAACCAGTGGACACTGAAGAATTGCTGGCTGTGATGAAAAATTGACTAACTGTAGTAAAATGTCCTTGATGTAAGGGCGAGATGGACAACAGTGTATGTGTTGTTGGTGTTAAAAGGGGCGTGATCAAATGAGGAAATGGGTTTTAAAAGGAAGTTGTACAGCTTTCACAACTTGTGAAAATCATCTACGAATAGTTTTTTTTTTCTCCCATCCAGAGGAGGGGTGGGTGAGGGGGCGTTGGCACCGGCACCAACTGATTATTTGTAGCACGTGCTTGCTGGAGCTTGAATCTGATGTGGGGAGAAAAAAAGCTGTAAAAGAGAAGGCGTCATGCATTCCTGCATTCTTGCTTTATTAAAGGTAGTGCCTGTGGGCTCGGCTGTCTTTGTTGAACACTCTTCTAAAGAAATCGTGGCTTATTAATTGTTTTTTGTTTTGTTTCATGCATGCATGAGCTCCTTCCATGATCACACATTCCTCATGTTGCATCTCTAGCGTATGGGTGTGGTTTTAATTCCTTTCAGGCCTGATGGAAACCTCAGATAAAACCATCTAAAGAGCGATGCAGAGCTCTCCAAGCGCCCATTTATTTCCTGTCTCATTTGAGCTCGTTAAAGCTGTGCATCTGGAAACAATAGTGAGTTTCAGTTCACTCTTAAGTACACTCATTGAGGAACGAACACCACCTCTGTGCTGTTGAAAAGAAAACACCCTCTCGTTGCTACACTGCGTCAGTTTGCGTGCCTTTCAGTGTTGTTATGCAGCAGCTGGTTTTCATGACTGTTAACCAAATCCACATTCTGAAGAGGACTGGCATTATTCTTGAAAACACAAATTTGGTGTGCTAGTGAGTTTGACATTTTCCTTCACAGAGCACAAAGCAATGCGACTTTGGGAAAATGTGGCGCTTGTTGGCAAACTCATAGTATCTGTAGGTGGAGGAATAGAGGCGGTGTCAGTAGGAGCGTTTACAGAGCAGCAAGTATGAGCAAATATCAGGGTGAGAAAGCCCCACAGGGGATGGAGTTTAGAGTGTGATGACTGAGTGCTTCACATCCAGCAGCACGGGTTTTTCGTACGTTTTCCACCACATAGATCCGCAGCAGTCATCGTGGCACGCTGAGGGTCTCCCGACTGATCAGTTTATTGTCGTGTATTTCCGTTTGAGGCCAGCGGAAATGGGTGGGACTCCATAAACAACTAAATCAAATAATGGGTATATCAAGTTGGAGAAATCAATATATGGAGGGGCACGCGCTTTTATGCTTCTTCTATGGCTTGCGATTGGTGCTAATACGAAGACAGTATGAACTTCCCCCGCCGTTTTATAGATTTCAGAACTAGCTTGCACAAAGATGAAGAACAAAGAGCTTGAACATAACAGCTATTAAAAGACCTATTATACAAATTTCCAGGTTCATAGTTCTGTGTTCTGCTTATGATGGACCTCTGTGCAAACTGTTCATCAGTCCGACCTTACGGATTTACACTTCAATGGGGAATCAAACACCATGAACCCAGGAGGAGAAAAGTCCCAGCATTTATTTTTGTTTGTTTCCATCACGTATAAAACACCGGGACACGACCACCTGGTAGTGTAGTAGTTAATGCCAGCACTGACACTACCTGTCAGTGCTGGCATTCACTACCAAATGCCAGCACTGACATTTATGCTTGTAACCGCTTATGTAGGTTACGTTGTATGTTCTACATAGATTCTGTGTTGAACTCTGGTGCGGTCCCTCTGCTGTCTGAAACTGAAACAAGCCATTCTGTTTTTATCAACATAAAGAAGTTTTTTCATTGGCTCTCCCCCCACCTGCAGCCCACTATCACCTTAAGTGGATCAAACCAGTGAAACGTTTAGAGTGAATGTGTTTACACAGCAAGTCCCACGAATATCTTCATATAAAAAAAAAAGTGCAGTTTTAACAACAAGTCTGGTTTTCTACATGACAGAAATTCTGCTGTAAATGAAAGAAATCTGTCAGCATTTCTGAGCTGTAGCGCTAAGCTGTGTAAAATTACTAAAAAAATGTTGGTGTCCAAGTTTTTCTTATTTCACAGACAGTGGATTCGCTCTGAAAATGGAAAATTATGTACTAAATAGTCATTATGTTATTTAAATGTTTATTTGTTACTTTAGTGCACTATAAATGGCCATGCAGGTCTTTATCAGTAGGAAAAGCTGTGGGGGAAAAAATACAGTTAGTCTAAAATCCCTCTTTCACATTTTCTAGTGGGCCAGATTGGAGTCTTTGGCAGGCCAGTTCTGGCCCCTGGGCCTTATGTTTGACACCCCTGGCGTAGAGCCTTGGATTCTGTCTGAGCTCTTTGCTTGTCATCATAAGTGTTCAGGGATAAAGGTTAAAGGCATTTACATCCATACAGTGTAATGTTTATACGCTGTCCAAATGAGGCATCGCCTGCCACTGGATTCTCCCTTTTTCTTTTTCTTCTTTTTTTCCCCCACAAGTTAAAGACACACGGCCTTCTTTTATCAAGTGAACTTTCTTCCCTTGTAGATCTCGCCAGGCACAGCTGAACTCGCAGCTAACAGATATCACGTGGGCACGTGATAAATGTTGCTGTCGGCTGCAGGAAACATCAAGTCATCTGTCTGCAAAGCAGGTATCTTGCATTTCTGCAGCAGCTTTGAATGGATGCGCGTAGGCTGCCGATAATTGATGTACCGCAGTATTAACCGTCTGTGTATGGCAAAAATAATCAGCACCATTATAACAGATCATCGGCCTCACCGTTAGGTATAGCCACATTTAATGTAGCAGCTGTCGCAATAACCCTGAGCATCACAGTATGTTTACTCACTCGAAACACTGCAGCATATCACTCTATGGTTGCACTCGTTAAAAGGAAGTCTGACTTATCAGCAATGATGTCTTTTAATCTATAAATAACTCCTTTATCTTTCTATGCAAACAACTTTCAGCTGTACCCTTACCTTGACACAAGTTGGTACACACTGTGAAGGTAGTTTAAATTTCCCCATCGTATTCACCCATGCTGAACTATATTTGTCTGCAAGGTCATGTTCTCAAATGTTATTTATTTTGTCTTGTTGAATGACTGCTTTCCCTTTTACTCCCTGTAATTCCAGTAAATGCTTCGAGTCAACACTACTTAATTATTGTTATATTTATTTCTGGCCTTTTCCTTCTCCACTGCTAGTAGAAGGGCAACAGGAACCGGACAATATTTGGGGCACAATGTTCCAGCAAGCTGTACCTTGAGATAAAATTGTATTTCAGCTGTAAAATTAATAGGGAGAAGCAGCAGTTAGACTTTATTAGTGTCTTTATTAGTACAACAAGAGCATCAAGGCTGGTTTTACTCATTACTGTGATTATACAAGGGGAGATAATTCTATTAACTGTTGTTTTTGTTGTTGTTGTTTTTGGCAGGTGGGGGGGTATTATTGGTGCTCTGAGCTGTCTTTGCAGTCTAGACCCTTTCCCTGGCATTTATTTACATAGTCATATTTATTTCCTCATATTAGTTCTCCACATTGTGGACACTCTGCTCCGTTTAGGCATGGGTGCACCGCTGCTCTGCACAGCCAACAGCAACATGCCTGGTTCTCCGCTCATCCACTTAAATATAACATATCAAATATGGAGTTAACTATAGTTTGTTGTATGTTAATCCTATCAATTGCTTCATCTAGCTAGTTGTGGCTAACTTTAGGGCCTTGATATCAAAATATGTTTAAACAAATAACCTGTTGCTAGGCAACCAAGGATGCCATGAGCATTTTTCATTGATTTCTATGGGTGTCAAAATGACTCTTTTAGCAATTCTTTGTTTCTTGCACACCCTGAAATTCACTATATGATGAATGAACCCATTTTAGAGTGAAATCTGACACGCTGGTGTTTTTATTTCTAACATAATTACATGGGTTTGAAAATTATAAGGGTTCTATGATATGGGAGCATTTTGATGCACTTGTGCGGTTGAGGTTTGCATGTTTTAGTGTGGTTGACGACTACAAAAACAACCACTTGCAATGCGTTGCTTATTGAGCACATGACGCACTGTGTGATGTGTTTCCTACAGAGAAATCCTACAGCTGTAAACTGTGTAATAGACCAGAAAGAACAAACTGGACTTATTACAGATTAGCTTCACCAACTTTAGCTTCAGTGTATGTGAGGAGTGGGCCCAGTTCCAGCCTTGTTAATCCATCCTACAGCTCAGGTAACAAAACAGGCTCTCATATTAATTATGAAAAACTTGCTTCACACAATTCCGTCAGCACGCTAAATAGTTAACCAGCCCAGTTTGTTTCCTTTCAGCTGCAGAGCGAAATTCACACTGCATACCAGTCTGTCTTTTGTCACTGAACTCGCCTCCTGGAAGGTTCATGGTCACAGCTCTGTCAATGTTCACAGCAATCAGGAAGTCATTTCCTGTCAATGCCAATTAACTCAATGAGCATCGAAGAACATGCCAGTGATGACGCACGGGAGAGAACTGCGTTTCCCGTTTGGACCCGTCAGACACCTGAACCAGGAAATAAAAATATCTAGTACCTACATATTAATTGATGGCCTTTCTCAGAGAGCGCAAATATGATTAATTTCTGTACCTTTTAGTTTGTTCAGTGAATGAACGTCAGATCTGGCATTAACTGACACCTAATTTTTACTGTGCATACCTGATTTGCATATTTTTGTACTTGCATCACAGCAGATTTTATACTTCTTTTTTTTTCCTTTCTTTGTTTTTTAATCCAGGACTTCTTTGAAAATATACAGCAGTCACTGGATTACACTTAAGTAGTCCTTCTCACCTATAAATAGGATCATGACTTCTTGGGCCAGTGTCCCACACAGAGATCAATCCTAGTTATAGGCTTAAGTGGGATTTTGAATTGAATTAACTCAGAACGTTTTTCCCTGAATACTTCTTGGATCAGACCCAACCTTAGCATAGTTTCAAATGAACTCAACTTATTTTGATTGAGGAATATTAGTGTCCATCCAAGGTTGGAGTGCCAGCATGACCACATGAATTTTTTTTTTTCTTTTTGCTTGCATGAAGTCAACAATGAGAAGTGTTTATGAGCTAAATCTTCTTGCTCAGTAATTTGCATGAAATCCATTTCTGAGTCTATTCTCTTGTGTGCTGTTAAAGTAGAGCTAATGGCACCGCTGGAGCCAAGACCTTTACTGCTGCCACATACAGAAAAGCATCCACTTACTTCTCTTAAAAATGTGTGCAAATACAACCCTTTATAACATTTGACATTTTATAATATTATGTTAATGTTATTTGCTGAATGTTGACTGTCGGGTTTTTTTCTTAGTTGGCTCGTACTGCAAAACTGTGGAAGTTGTCGTTATAAGAAAAATGCTTCAGCGAATGTTGTGAATCATATACTTCTATCCTTCGCATTAATTTTCAAATAAAACAATACTTTGCAGTGAAGGCTACCCTAAGGCTCTGGCTAACAGTCAAGCAAGGAGTGACAAACATAAGAAAGGCAAATTTAATGTTCTCCTCTGATTCTGTGATGCAAAAAGTGAACAAGGTCGAGCCGTTACAAATAAGTAAAGGATCAGAGGGTAAAGTGACACTAACGCCAAAAGGGTAGCGTTACACTAGCGATTAACAGGTGCCATAAACTGGTGATTGGCTGGAAGGTGATGGAGAAAATGACGGCATCACTGCCACGTTCAGGCAAAATATTAAATCGTCACATAATATCAAAGCTGATTGACACAGAAGTGTTCATATGAGACTGAAATGAGCTAAAGAAACCTTACATAATCTGTACAACCAATTATATGCAACATTTATTTGATAATAGCTCGCAACTCTATGGTATGTTTATTTTATAACGACTTCTTATTTATTTAAAATGAGACTTGAGGGCTCCAAGTTGCAGAACGTTGTCTAATTGCTTTGATAGCTCAGACATGAGACAAATTATCAAAGTGACAACGTTTAACTGCCAGCAACGTACAGCCAACCCCTGTTTACAATGGAGGCTGACAGTAATAACGTCTGCAGGAACCAACAAACTGTCAGCTTTGGCAAGCACGTTTTATCCACGGCAAAACATTTTCACGCATTGTTTCCTTCTCGTGACTTTAATGTGGTGTTTTAAAACGCGAAACATGACTCACGTGTTAGAATGAGGGGAAAATATATAGAAAAGACTGAAGATGTAAATATAACTGTGAAAGTCGGAGTGTTTTTTAATAGTCCCACACGTTGCAGATTAACAAAGTTGATAGGCATGCTGCAGATCAATCCCGGAGACGCATTTAAAACAAAAAAACAAACCAAATATAACAACCGCGTGTTTGGAGAATGAATCTCGGGTCAGTTTCTTTTCTGTAATTGTGTTTCCAGCCTTCAGGCGAACCAAGTTTTTTCTTGTGTCAGATGGTGTTTTGAACAAATTCCTGTTTGAACTATTCTCGGGGCCCAGTAGCCCAATCACCAAGGACAGATTGCAGGCTGTCTTTTGATCCACTCTCCTTTACAAGAATAAAGTCAGATTGTTGGTAGAAATCATTTTTGGCAATGGAAATATATCAGGAAGTCACTTCTCCCTGGCTTCACCTTTGTTTTCAAATGCTGCCTACCTTTCCTTGTGAAATCTGACTTCAAGTAGTGAGCTGTAAACTGAGATTGTTTAGCATGAAATCAGGTTATTAATGCCAACACCCAGCAGCTCTAATGCCTCAAATTTCATCCTAATTGTGGGCCTATCCTCTTGTCTGAACCTCTTCTATGTATTTTTTTTCTTGATTTGGACTAAGGAGACCTCACAGTTGCCTTTGGGATGTTCTGTTCAATGCTTCTGCTCTTGTGTTAGCTCAAACTTGTTAAAGGAGTTCATTTTCTCTTGCAGATCTCGGAGCTGAAAGCTCTTAAAAGCCTTCGAGCTGTTCCATAACAATCGTATGAGCTTAATGCAATAATGTTGTTGCTCATTTCTCTCTGCTTTCCTCAACAGATCTTCCTGCTGGCCTGCCCGCCATGTAAGACAGCTATGGTTGTGTTCAGGTGAGCGTACATGCACTCCTGGGTTCTTCCCGTTTAGTGTTTTCAACTTGTCGTCTACATTTAAATGAAACTTTAAAGGTCTGAATTTGCAAAATATAGAGTTTTTAGTGCAGACTGTAGAAAGGCCACGACTGCCATATGAGCCGCTTGTCCTGCTGAATGTAACGTCTAATGACTGGGCGGACAAAGCTCATGGTTTTTGTTTTCATATAATCCAAATTGTGGTTGACGTTGATTGTAATTACTTATTGGTTTCCACCATAGTAAGCAGTTGTATGGTAATGTATTTGTTTGGGTTTATAGTCTCCTCTTCAACAACTCATCCGGTCTGAGCAGTTAATTATTCAGGAGAAATGACTCTGGTTTTGCCGGTGGGAACACGATGTGGGATTTACTCAGAAATAAATACAAGCAGGGTCACTTTCTGTTCGAGTAGCCCACGGGAGCCTCACAGTGAACACAGTGTACCGAGTCATAGCAACTTTATGAAACCACAAAAAGCTGGTTCTTACATGGGATAGAAATGTGAAACATTCCCCAATAAATATCCAATCGTTTGAAGAATTACTGAACTGCCAACATTATTTATCCACCAGGTCAAGATGTTCTTTCACATAGTAGGTTAGTTCATTTGTTGTCGTAACAACATGTTTTAATTTGTCTCATTTATGTAAGACATAGAGTCATAACCTTTTGTTCGAGGCGCTTGTCATTTGTTTGTGTAAACATGGCATTTTACTCTGTGATGGTGGTGTGGAACCAGGCCCACTAACATGCAAACCTCAAGTTTATTTCACCACATTTACAGTTTCAAAGTGACTGCCGTGTAGAACTAATCCTGCTACCCACCAAAGAGGGTTTGGTCTTCTACCTGCAATGAGCACAGCACATAACAAGTTTAAAATAGATCCTTTTTTATTGTTTTTATATTTGACATTTTTGATGTGCTACATTTCCTGTGACTGCTTCACAATAACAGTCACTGTGCCTTTCTGTAATGTGAAGTAGTAGCTGCTGGAAACGTTTGCTTGTTGCGTGTAAAGCTCAGATTCTCCTGCAGTAGCAAATGGTAAATCTATGTTTAAGATTACATCTTTATCCCTTTTATGTATGAAGGCAGTTCAACAAGCACTGGACTGTACTTGGAAAATAAAAATGGTAAAATTAGCAGGAGCAGGTGTAATAGTTACTACATAAAGTCGAAGTTTACGCTACAACAGTATCAGAGGTTTAGGTCTTGGCCTATGTATTAATATGACATGGAGTGACATGCAATTAATTACAGCGGTGGAAAAATATAAGGTCGCTAATGCTCGTTACGCTTTGTAAATTTTGAATTTGGGAGAACCGCTTTTCAGAAGAGTGACAGCCGGACTTATTTGAAGCGGCATTACTTCGGCACTGCTGTTTTCCCGGCGACCTCGTCTGTCACAACGGTTATTTTGGCTCATTTGACAAAAAGAGCAGTCACAGGAGATAGATGGAGCTCCACACTCTGACACACAAGCTCCTTGGCTTCTGTTCTGTATTTGGAGCCTCTTAACATCAATGTTAGTTCAAAAGACACATTTTCTTTATGCTGGGTTTATTTATACAGGTTTTACTAAATAAGCATCGCAGCTCCCACTAGGAGCAGATAGGCTATATGTGTGCGCTGGATGGTGCAACTAAAAGCTTCAAACCAAATTATACTAATTAGTCTGAATGAGTAGATGGATGCACTGATTTGTTAAATCGTGACATCAAAGCATTTATTTTGAGAGTGATCGCCTGAAACTTTACTGACCTGACTTTACACAATAAGCGGTCCCACAAGAAACTGACCCTGACAAAGAGTAAGAGACAGCTGCTGCTAACAGCATCAGGGAGGAGTCTGATTGGTTTTTGGCAACATGGGATAGAATCTAAACTGTCCTCCACCTGTTCCTCTGTCCCTTATATCAGCTGTAATTGATTCATATGTCAGTAGTGGCAGAGTTTTCTATGGGTTGAATGCTTTGGGGAGGGCAAATGGCCTGCAGAAGTCAAGAGGGGAGTGTAGTAATAACAGCCTTTTTTCCCCCTCTCCTATTCTGTTTTTTTCCTCTTTTCTTTCATTGATGATAAATCTGAAAGAGATGCTTTAGACAGACTCACACTTGTTAGAAAGCCTTTATTGTTTTAACCATAGCTCAACCCCGGTAACTTCTCTCCTCTGCGCTGTTCTGTGTCTGGAGAGGGAAGAGAGCAAAGTGACACCAGAAGGGCAGGAGAGAAACTAACATGACTCAGAAAGGTTTACACAGATTAGGTAAATAGCAAGTGACCTTGTAGGTATTTTTAATGTCTGTCATTTTTATTGTTTTCAGGCTGCAGGTCCACATGTTGAATGGCGCATTACTGGCTTTAATGTTCCCTGTAGTCAACACCAGACTGGTAAGTAGACCGTGATCTTCAGATCTCATTTATGAGCAGCCCTCTTCTAGCCTTTGTTAGGTCTCCAAGGTGTACAAGGTTAAGTGTCGCACTCATTGAGCAGCTAAACGAATGTTATCACTTACCTCTGGAACGGCGATGTTGTGTTGAAAAAGACTACACTGTGTCTGTGCAGGTATCATTGGTTTCCTCTATAATATCGTAAGCTCTAGAACTTGCTGTGTAAAGAGACCTATGATGATGATTATGTTATGATTTGGCGCCGTATAAAACAATTGAATTAAAATTGAAAGCTCTGACTCACTCAAGCTGCGCCTTGAGTGAGTCAGAACATCTCGTGCAGGAGATATTTCACAAATTTAAACTTGATCTGTTTGAATGAAGTCACTTTGGTAAGTTTTAAACTTAAAAACACGCAGCATAGCCATTAAGACTAAGTGCTTTTCCTTTTATAACGGTTCTCACAGAAATAAGGCTGAGCTGTTCTGCCATATCCGCAATTCCCTATCAGATAAACTTGTTTTTCTCAAGCAGGGAATGAAGGCTTACACAGCTGTTTTGCATTTTATAACATCAATAAACTTTATATCAGTATTTCTTACAGAGCACAGTAAACTATGATTGCTCCCTGAACATTACGTGCCTGCTAACCAACAGGAAAAGAGGCAGTTTATATCAGTCACTTGTAAATTAAAAAAACACTGTGGACAAAGATCTCATGTGTTTCTTAAGTTATACCATTAAAGGGAACCCATATTATGCTTTTCTTTATTTGATGTCTCCTATTAAACCTAGCACCTGCTCCCTTTCATGGTCCACACTGTGAATCATCTGTCTCCATATAACCCTGTTCCTACCATTCTCCTCGGTCACACCAACCTTTTACATGTCCTCCTGCTTTACATCCATAAATCTTCTCTGTTGCCTTTTCCTGCTGCCTGACAGCAGGACAAACAAAGGGTGTTGCCATATTCAACATCTGTTGTTCAATATTTGCACTGCATCTGTCCTCTGCACATATCCAAACCATCTCAGCCTTCCCTCTCTAACTTTTGTCTTTAAAATGTCCATGAGATTCACTTGTTTCTAAACTATCCACTCTGCTCACGCTCAGTGAAATTAATTTTAAAGTCTTGGACTCTGCAGCTCTTCCTGCTGTCTTTTTGGTTGTGCCACTGTTTCTAAACCAGACATCATAGCAAGTCTGACTGCAATCTTGTAAATCTTCCCTTTCACTTGTGCTGCCATTCTTCTTTAACAAATCACCGCGACACTCGTCTCCACCCACTCCACCCAGAGTTTTTAAAAAAAAAAAAAAAAAAAACATGGTCAACATATGTACACGTAATTCCTGAAAACGAAACAAAAGCTCTGACTTCAAACTGCTGTAAACACTCAAGTTTCATACAATTGTATTATTATCATTATTATTATTATTATAGATTTTGTATGATGACAGTGATCATTAATGAGGCCATACATTGTTAGAAGAAAGGTGCCTTATAAAGGCAGCTAAAATAGACAGACGGTGTACCTGCTGTCCTTCCATCTCTTTGTTCACTTGGGTAATGTTGTCTGTCATGGTTGCTTGTTAAGCAGTAGCATAGCTGGTGACTGTGAGGCCAGTTGTCTTTAAGATTTCAGGGCCCAGAGCAAGTTGGGGGCTGTTCTGCTGTATCTGGGTGCTGTAAAAGAATTAAAATGGTTTGTTTGCTTTTCATTTTCTTAGCTGCCATTTGAGAAAGAGATCTATTACATCCAGCACTCCATGATGTACCTGGTGCCTGTTTATCTTTTCAGGAAAGGAGGTAGGTGTTTCTTCATTCTGACTTTTCACATGTCAGCCGAGCAAAGTGATAATATCTCCATGGATGGATTCACTTTTTGAGATGCTGTGGATACCAGCTTTTTGTTTTGTCTGTTCAGTGTCTGTTACTGAAAGATTGTTTGGTCATTTCCACTTACATAGATGATACTGAAGAGCAACTATAAAACCAGTTTAACTAAAAGGAGTTCTCTAAAGAGCTTGGAAAGAAAAGCGTCTGGACTTCTTTAAGTTGCTTGAAGACGTTTCACCTCTCATCTGAGAAGCTTCTTCAGTTCTAAGTTCAAATGGTGTCGAATCCCAGATTTAACATGTCCTAGGGGAGTGTTTCCCCAAGGGGGTCATGAATTCCCTGTTGATCCTCCACCTAATCACACGAGCCAAGATGTGAAAAGGGGTGTAGGTCACAATCAGCCAAGGTTTCAGGTGAA